GCATGGGTATATTTGGGATGTGCATTTTCATCCTTACATCTCTCCCCTCGTTTCTCTCTTGGCATCTCCTTTCAGTATTGAGGGAACCTAATGTGGTTTGTTTCAAAAAACACATGGCAGAAATTTGAAATACAGTAACCAAATTATTAAGATTTCTAAAGAAGGGGAAGTGGACCATTCAGAGGCAATATTACTAGCTTTTTTTTCTTTTAAAGGCTTGTGCTTTTTTCAGTTTTGGTAGTGTATTGATGGATTAAACTCAACAGGACAAAAAGGGGAAGGAGTCTCAATTACAAGGAACAATCAGTACATCAAGAAGGTGAAAATTTTGCTCTAACTGTGGGAGCCCATGTGTGACTCAGTTTCCATCTGGAGTCCATTCAGACTTTTCGTCATTTGAGTTCAAGCTTGCCTACTCTGCTTTTTCCAATAAACTTTAGGGCTGTGAGAGACTTCTGATGTAGCCCATGAGAAAGAACACTCTATCTAGTAGACAGTATACTGCTGACATTAAACCTCAGGAACCCCAAGATAGAAAGTAAGGCTGCTTCTGAGTAGCAAGCACATGATGGAGAGGAGGCTGCTCAGTCAAGGACAGGGATGGTCTTGTGGTTAGACACTGACTGACCGGCTGTGCTGTGCTTTGTTCTGCTTTTCTATAAAAGCAGGTTCTGAAATAAACTCTGGGCTGTTTTGGTTGCTTCAGCATGAACAGACAGACCTCCTGATTCTATCCTGTCTACCGTTTCTTTTGTCTGACTTTCCTTTGGCCTCGAGAATCCCCCATACAGGAATCGGAGCTGACTTTGCAGGAGTGGACTCCTACATCTAATAGAGTTACTAAGCAACCACATGTTGTTTTAAGAATAGAAAATTATCATGCATAGATATTTAGTCAAAGAATGTTTAAAGATGATACCATATACTACCCTACCTATGATTAAAGGAAAACATAGTAGTAAACGTAGAAAATCAACAACTGGATAAAGGAGAAAACCACTCCTTTATATCCTACCATGTGATATGGCCACAGCTTCAGCCAGCAAGTGTTGCCTTTCTACCAGTTGCCCCCCCACACAAATAGGAACATGTACAATTTTCAGTCATTTTCTATCCGTGGTATTCAATGTCAGCTCCCCAGATATGGATTCATCCAAATCATGAACCCCAACATGGTCAGAGTGGTCACAACTCTGTTATATAATTGAGTTAATTACCACGGTCCCTCAGTAGACAGTTTAGACAGTTTATCTTTGTTTTGTATTTTGGCTCTGGAAATAGTGGTCTAATAAGCATAAATTTGGGACAACTTAGAATATTCAGTGACAGGCCCGGCACAATTCTAAACTTCCTTCACTTAGGCAGCTTTATTTTTTTAACTGATATAAAAAGTATTTTTGTAGTCATTTAAATTTTATTAGCATATACTTATTGCTCATAGTAGTAGGTTTTATTATCACATTTTCATATATGCCTATAGCTGCGGATCTGTCATTTCAACCTCTACATGCTATCTAGGTACAAAACAAGAAACAAATAAGCCATACTTCCCCTGCAATACACACAAACACCACACACACATACACACAACCCAACTCAATTATACACACATCCAATTCATACACACACATTATACACACAATCCAATTCATCACACACACACACCTATACAACATGCGCGCACGCACACAACCCAACTCAATATCATCCAGAGGATTTTCTTACACTGAAATAAAGTTTTCATGAAGAAAAAAATTTTCAGATAAGAGTATATTTTCCAAATAATGGGGTTTATATAAGTGAGACCAATATGTTTCAAATTAGACTTTGGGAGAGAGTGTAACTAGTAAAGAGGTCCTTAGTTTGAATCTCCAGAACTCACACCCTAAATATGTCATATATACCATACTACTAAGGCCTAGGGAACACTGTGGAAAAGGGTATAAATAACAGAATAACCAAAAACTAAGGAAAAGGGTTGCGCAATGCCATCTAAGCATGATTAGGCCAAGACAATGATGAACTCTCAGCAGCTACGGGCACTGGTACTGGGCCCACACATATCAGGACCATATAGCAACCAGCTGTAGATGAGAAGGAACTCACAGAACCCTTCTAGTTGCTATTGAACCACTGACAACTAGCAGATTCTGAGTGAGGCAAGGCCTAGCGTCAGTATCCAGGGGTGAGCCTGTTTAGTTAAAAGCATCATCTTGGTTCCCTGACACCCTTTTATACAAAGAGTCTGGATTGTTTAGTTAAGGAGCTTCACCCCAGCTCCTGGCATAAGCTCCCTTCCTGGGAGTTGCCTCAGTCCAGACTCCACCTTTGAGAAAGCCTGACAAATGGTGACCCCTCCCTAGGGAGGGTCAAGAGAGCCTGCCAATCGGTGACCCTGCCCCAAGGAAGGCCAAGACCACTTCCAAAGATTATTTAAACTGCCCCACAGAGAATGAACATATGGTCTCCCCTTTTTCCTCTTTCTTTCTCCATGGTTCCCACCCCACAGCGACCCAGAAGTGCTGACAACCATTAAACACGGGCGTTTTTTAACTCAGTCTGATTTGGTCTGATTGGGATTATTTGCATTGGTGGAGAGGTTTGTCGGTTCAGAAAAATATTTAACAGAGCCTACCAGTCTCTAGTTGACAGTTTTAAATCCATGATCCTACAGATGACTTTAGTTAAACTCTGTGGAACACAAGACAAAAACTCAAGAACATAAGGAAAAAGTGACGGCACAGAGGGTGGAAGACAAGATGAAGGGAGAAAGAGAGAAACCAGAATGCTTTATATGTGTATAAACTGTCAAAGAGCAGCATTTATTTACAGAAGAAAATGTCTGAACTATTACTTTTAAGTCAAGCAAAGTGGTAGAGATCTATAATTATAATGACGGTGGCAGTAGAGATAGATATTTGGATGGTCACTGAGCAGCCTACCCAGCTGAAGTGATGGGATATAGGTTCAGTGGGAGACCCTGGCTCAGAAAATAAAGCAGAGGGTAACTGAGCAACACTGCTGACAACCTCCACGTGAAAGTGCACAGGCCCACGAGCGCCCACAGACATATGTTCACACCGTACATCACACACGCGGACACAAAGAAATGAGGTGTTGGTCTATCCCGGAGAGCCTATAACAGTGTGACAGTTCCTTAGTCCAAATAGCAAAGATTCACAGTTTCATGAGTTCCACCTCGAGTATTTACAGAAATGCTGTATGCTTTTCTTCAAGTGGAAACCTTTAAAAAATGCACTCTTTGATAAGAAAGTGTGGAGTGTCTTTGTGAGTTCTCTCTTGTAAGCTCATCCATCTTTTTATTGTAGGGGATATATAATTTGTGTTTGTGTGTCTCAGTGTAAAATCCAACTGCGCTTGAGAGTGATGGAGTATTTTTCTCTGTTTAATTTAATACACGAATTATAAGCTAGCTAATAAAATTTAAGTCAATATTACTCTTCTTCAGACACTTCATAGGGGGATCACAAGGCATTTCCTAGAGGTTGAAATCCCAGTGTGAAAGAATTGTTATGCGACTATTAACATCAGTATCTGAAAGACTAAAGAGCTTGTCTTTTTCAACAGAGTTTCTTTCGCCTATCTATGTGTATCACCTGGCAAGTGAAAGTGTAAACTTTATTACCCTCTGCTTAACAGTTACTCCATTTAAGGTTGAGTTAGATGAGGGGAAATGCCACTTCACTGTGGAAACAGCAAATAAAAAGTAGCTACCTTTTGAATATGTAAATTCTTACCTTTAAGTCCAACCCCTCCCACACCGTTCCCTAAAGCAAACAAGTATGTTAGAATGTTTGATGCTATTCTGGCAAACTTCTTCATTGAAATAATGGTCAACGGTGCTAGGAGGACGGTTTTGAAATAAAACCTACCTCAATATAACCGAAACTTGCCAGACAAAGACCTTGCCCTGTCCCTTTTGTTTAAGGGTTATCCTTGGGGACCAACTGTATTCCCCCAAATAACCAGATGATTAGCCTGCTGCTCAAAGCCATCCTCAGGGTGTTCGTTTCCAGTTGCTTGGGAATTTCCACAGAGTCCTAAGCATGGGACGCTAATTCACATCACTACCCCACTCAGGAAACAATAGACAGTCAAAACCCACAGCCGCCCATAGCTTTACAGAGAGAGGTTCTCAGGCCACCGTGCTTCCCTGTGCGCAGAGCCAAGCAGATAGTGCAAGGGGGCTTGGTCCATGGCTCTGGGAATACTATCACCTGCAGGGAACGAGGGAGGCAGTGGTCTACTGGCTTTCTCAGGCAGCTTCAATTTAGTTTATCCTTTCTTTTCAGCTCTCTTCAATCTCCTTTATTCCTGCAGAAATGGTAATTCTAGTCTAAAATCTCTTAAAGTGCCTTTCGAAAAAAAAAAAACAAAAAACCAAAAACCTTTCAATGTGTGACATTGGTTTCCACAGTGGCAGTAACTGTATCTCCTGCCTTGCAGGTCTTTGGCAGTGAGATTTTGCAACTCTTCCAAACAGAGAGTCGAATCTTTTTGTCTATCTCACCAAATGTGGCTCGCCTTGGGGTGCATCATAACCAACAGGAAGAGGTAGAAATGACATTGGCTGTCTTCTGAGATGAGATTTTGGCCCACTCTTGTTAATTCTGGAGACTTCTTCTTGGAAAGCTATCTGACACTGCTGTGCTGTGGAACCACGGCAGATCTTGAGGCACGGCACGCAGAAACGTATAGAACTGAAAGCAGAGATGCTCAACCAACCCCAGGCAAATGACATCTCTTGCTGAAAGAGCTGAGTGACACCAGTGACCCAGAGTAGAGCAGCCTCTTCGGCCCACAGAACGAAGAAAAAGAATAAACCATCCTTTAAAGTTACCAAATCCTGGGAATGTTTCAATGACAGTTAGTCACCTAGTCTCTCGCAGTATACTGGGCAGCAGTGCGGGAGATAAAGCCTTTAGATAGCTATCAATTGGTTGACTTTACTCTTCACCCTGTCTGGGTTTACTACTTACACATGGCACAGGATTTTCCTGTGTAACCAGGGGCACAGTCGCAGCTTCCAGACTCTCCGTTGCAACGACCTCCATTTTCACAGAGTCCACAGGAAAACTGGCATTCTGGTCCCCAGAGGCCGTCAGGGCAGGCTTGTAAAATAAAAACGAAAAGAAAGATGGCTCCAGATTTCATGTTTACTGTCGCCTAAATGAGATGGCAAATTGTGTGTGTGTGTTTGTGGGGGGGGGGGGCGGGGTTTGCAAAGAAAAAAGTGTTCGCTAGCCTCTGAAGATTTATGTCTCCCCCAAAAGCAAGCACTCCCGAAAGAAATCAACACAATGCTGTGTTTGTCACTTTGGGAACACAGATGTGGTAATAGTCGTTTCTCTTTTCTCTTTTTCTTTTGCTGAAAGTGTGTGTGTGTGTGTGTGTGTGTGTGTGTGTGTGTGTGTGTGTGGTTTCAGGCAGTCACAATGGAATCCATTTTGATTTATCTTTGGAAGCACTTGAGCAGAACAAGCATGAGACGGGAGCGTGATTTGTGAAAAGCATCCCAGAAGAATGCCCCCAAATGCTAGCTGCACATCTACTTCCTCATCAATGCTTCCTTCTCCAAGCCTAGCCAAGGCAGGGCTCTACGCCTGTGTTCTTTATGGCATGTACAGTGTCTAAGGTGGCTAGAGAGAAACTGCATGCTGTCCTGTTGAATGTCCCTTGAACTATTGATGGAAAAGGACAAGCAGTAGATACTGCTGGCTCACAGACTCTTTAGGGACAGCGTATGATCCACTGTCTAAACCCTGCAAGTAGAAACATGGGAGAAGTTATCTTATGAACACAGAGAAAACAGTGAAACTTCCTTACACGCTTGACAATGGCTGGAAGTTATAGCGCACTTTGCCCTTCTGCGATGTGTGTCTTGTGCTGGGCAGAGTCTCTGAATGGCAGAATCACCACATTTTCTGAGGTGTCATACCAGATTTGCAGCCATATCCTTATATACTTACATCATATTTAAAAAAGAAAAACCAGCCAATCACAACTTTACCCTGTACTAAATGAGGTTTGAAGACGCGGTGCATCTGCTGTCATAAAGCTGTAGGCAACAAAGTTGAAATTTAATCCTGCATCTTTCAGTTTGGGCATCTAGGGCTCCTATCACACTACGTGATGCTGAACCATTCAGAGACACTCAAGTCGTCTATTGTGCTCTGAGAGACCCACTGTGGTTTTGAATTTCAAGTTTGCCTGTGGTGGAATGATTTAAATCCAGATTTGATTTTCTTGCAATGGCACAGGGGCTGCATAGCCTTCCTAAAATGGGCTTATGGGGGGATCTCTGGACCACTGGGTCCCCCACATTTAAAAATCTGCCTGTAGTTGGGGTTCCAAATACCCATGATACAAACTTTTACCCAGGATACATTGGCAGTTTTTAAGTGGTTTTTCTCCCCTCTGTCACAGGTTGCTGGAAGAAAGTCACTTTGCTGTCTGGAGAAGCCATTGCTGATAAGCTAACTGAGGTTAGTGTTGATTGTTCAGGGTGCTGCTCCCCAGTACCACCGAAACAATACTTATCTGACTATTCATGACGCAGGCCTGAAGGTAAGATTCTTGAAGCTCTGTCTGGCTCTGTGAGCTTTGGGGCCACTCCAGGGCTTGAGATCCAGAAAAACAACAGGGCCGATTTTCACCATGCTCGACTCAACAAGTGCTCTCTTTGCCTTAATTTCAGTTGCCAATCATGGTGAGCTCACCCACATGCTCCAGTCTTATTCCACATTTCATTTCGTGGTTAGACAAAACTATCAGGATTGGACAAAGCTATCTGATTGAAAAATAATATGTTTTCTAGAGATTATGGTGACCTCTCTATTTTGCTGATTTACATAGACTTTCAACTCATTTTCCTTCACAGTGGGGATCTCAGAAGCCTTTTCCAATAAGGTATGTTCAGCAGCTGCTTTAAGGAAATGTTGTCAGAATAAATTAAATTTACCCAGGTGTGTGTACATGGTATTATATCCTTGTGCATTGACTTCCAGAACACGCCATCTCAGTAGGGACACGGAAAGAAAGCTAACATCAGGCTTAAAATCAGGGCAGAGATTGAGTGACATGCGACTTATGCTTGTGTCATATTAAACACATTTGCTTGAGATTGGACTTCTGCTTCCTCAAGTTCATTTCTTCATTACTTAGGTCGTTACAATGCAGCCACCACAAATGGGCTGGCTCATAAGCGGAAGAGGTTTCTAGTTGCAGAACAGGACGACGTCCTTCGCTAAACCAGTGCATAAGGGATTCTAAGACAAGTTTCAGTCCCCGGCTTCTGTGAGCAGACTCAGCACTGCGCTGTCCTCCAATCAGAGCCTAGTAACCTCTCCTGGTTCCAAAGGATGTGAGGACTCACTGTTAGTCCTGGTCATTTGGTTTGTCCTACGTGTGCAGTTCTTAGGAAAGAGCAAAAGGGTCATGACAATTTTCTTTTCTTAAATAAGAATCCCTGGGGCTTGATGAAAATATATAAATAATAAGCCTGATCCTACATACCATGTGTTGATTTAAGAAAAGATTTACTGACTAGTAGTCGCAGAAGTGAGGGAATACAGAAGAAAACAAAACAGAGAGCCTGTCCACGTGGAACCCAGATCCTATCAAGAGAATGATAATTCATATCAAATACAACAATAGTAGGTAAATATGGTAGAGCAGAAGATGAGAAATACTATAGAGCAGCAAAAAAAAATAACAAACCCAAACAACAACAAAACAAAACAAAAAAACTTCAAGGACAGTGCAAGGCACATTCTTAAGAAGTGGCGTGAATGGCATTCAGTGACAAGCGACCAAACACCAAAACCATGAGCATCCCAGAGTCTACAAGCCAGGGATGGCTTTCCTGACATGTCTACACTTTCTTTATGATTGGCATCATAACTCACTGCCTATAGATTGGTCTAAAGATTATGTGACATCTGTATAGTTAACAAATGACAGTACTGGCATCCATATGTAAATTCTCTATGGTTAAGGAACTGCTAATAAATGTATTTGCATGATTGGATTTTTATATGAAAGAATATGGTCTTTCATTCTGAAAGAGAGCAGGTCCTTGGTTGATGCGTCAATGTTGTCTATCTTTAATTGTTTTCAGATATAATTTTAGTCAGTGTGACCCTTTTCTCCTTTGCTCAGGCTGAAAAAGGGACTGCTAACAGCAGTGGCCAAGAAGACAAGGTTCAATAATTGTATTGCCCCCCGTCTCAGTTTCCTCACCTGCAACGGGGGATCAATAAAACATCCCCACCTCCGAGGACACTGGTGTGGATTACCTCATTAATAACACACGCTGAACAAAGACTGATCATTTATTATTAGAGAAGCCCAGAAATCCATCATTGGATTGTACCTTCCTGGCATCTGTTTCCTTGGTAACCAGATTTGCAGGTGCAACTACCATTTTTGGCACTGCATTCCAGGGTGTTCTCCTCCACGCACTGACATTCCAAAGAACAGGCAGTTCCATACGTCCCCCTGGGACAACCTGAAAGCAGAGTAAAGCAGGCTGGTCACCTGAAAACTGTGCTTTGTTTATTTGAAATTGTTAGCGCACAGGCATGACATTCTTCGGGACCTGATTATAAGGAGAATAGGGGGATCATCATGACTGCCAAACCAAAAAAAAATGAGGCAACAAATGTCTTTCAAATCAGGCAATTCATTTGCTTTTTGGCAACTGGACATGAACAGTGAAGGCTGAATTACTTAAAAGGCCGCGGTGATGCTGGGAGAGAGATTGCTTCTCAAATGTTCGCTATTGCTGCCTGGACTTAATATTCTCCAAGGACTGCTTTGGCTGCCAGGCCCCTCATCATCCAGCTGAAGCCTGGAGATGACGGACAAGCACTTATGTGAAGGTTGGCCATTGTCCTTACTCCCCCTGATTATATGGCAATCAGAAATAATTTTACATCTCACAGATTACACAAAGCTTCCATTGTGACAACGATATTATCTTGACCACTTCTGTGGCAAGTGCTGCTTGCCCTGTCTTCTTTGTTTTCCCCAGGCCACTGAGCTTTAGAGATGATGCAATCAGGGCTGAAATTCTAACTTGAAAACATCCTGTCCTTGTGTTTAGGACAGCATACCATAGTTCATGCATTCTCTCTCTTCCTCTTTCCAATTGCTTCAGCTGAGTTCTTAGAACAGAGCAATTCCCTTTCCAAAACAGATCTCTGGCAATTATTTTGTTTCCCGGTTATTAATGTTCAAGAAACTTCTCAAATGAAATCTGTTTTAAGGTTCTCCTGGGATCAAAGTAATTGTCTGGTGTGCCCTGACAGGATTTGCTGGAGAAAATGCAATGAATTCTGGTGCTTCCCTGGGGGACCGGAAGTGACATTAATGGAGTTCATTCAATGTGGTGGTTATGATGGCTCCTAAGGAATCTGACTCTGGTTCCCAGAAAGAGCACAAATATCTTTAAAGACAGACAATCAACAGAGCCATATGGATGCTTCAATAATGGGTTTAGTTCTGATAACAAGTGATCATTTTCATGACCACCAAGTTTCACAGACAGCATCACCAAGACTGGGGTGTGCTTCAATCTAGGTTCTTCTGCTTATTCCAGAATACATACTTGGTAATGAGTTTGGATAAAGAAAAAGTGGAAAGGATATCATTGGGTAAGCCAGTATCTGCTCAGGGTTTGTTAGGCATTAAGATAGAACACCCAGTATTCGAATTTTGAATTCCTGATTCTCAGGACCTAAAAATGTGACTTTACTTCTGAATACATTAAGGATATAATGTTTTTAAACAAGGTTGTATTGGGATAGATGAGTTTCTAAATAAACACACATAATGAGCTTACAGACTGAGGGGTTTGCCAGAGACCTACACATAGTGAAAGCACCAGAGAAGGGCAGTAGGACACCATAGAAGGAATTTCCTATGGCAGAAAGAGGCCTGAACAGATCCTTCTGTAACATCATCGGATGGACCATAAAAGTACTGACACCTTTAAATTGGGCTCCCAGCTTCCAGAACTCTCAGACAATGGGTTGTTTTGAGATACTCAGTTTGTGGCACTTGGTGTGGTTAGAAAAATAGTGCCTGTGGGACGTGAGATCCTTGGGGCCAGTCAAGTGACATTCATAAATAAATCCAGAAGAACTAGGATGCATGCATTCTTCCTAAAGATTGTGGCATTTAAAATGTTAATCATTACTACTACCACCTGCCCATTACCACCACCAACACTTCTACAGCCACCGCCACTACAGTTACCACCATCACCACCATCATTACCACCACCAGCAGCAGCAGTAGCAGCAGCAACCTCCAAGCCCCCTACCATCACATCTTGTTTGCTGGTATTCTCTTAAGTCTTCACTCTTTACAGTTGGCAAGTGAGCCTGTTATTCAAATCCTAAGAATGCCAATTTTGTCATGGAAAATTGAGCTTCCCAAACTTTTTGACAAGGTGTATTAATTTATTTTTTGTGCTCAAACATCTGGTATTAACATATAAAATATTCAAAGGTTATTATTTCATATTGGATATATCTTGCTACAGTTCAAGATCAATAACAAAAATGATACTACCTTTGTTTTCAGTCATGCTTTTTTCTCTAGGTATGCCTTAGAGGAGAAAAAATATTCTAGAATGTACCCTCCGTACCTCTGCTTTTCAGTTATTGATGGCTCTCTCCATTCTCTCCTTTATTTACCTAAGCCTAATCTTTGCTCATAACCCACTATCAATTTACTATGATGCCTTCACTTGATCTCTTATTGGCTTGTTCACAATTTACTATGTTTTTCCCAGAGACATTCCTTCTCTTAAGTATGTAAGTCTTATTGATATTAAACTAAAAGTAAATTATAAATTATAGAAGGTCATTGTACCTTGATAACAGTGGTGTGAATGTTACTGCCCTCCTAAAATGGTTATGATAGAATCTTATCCCCCTTGGAGAATGTTATTCGGAGGAGGGACTTTAGAAACATTATTAGGTAGGGATGTAGGGTTTTTATGTGTGAGATTAGTGCTTTAGTAATAAAATCTAAGAGTACATTTGCTTGTCCTCCCAAAAGGAGGATGCACTGCCAGGAACTGTCTAGAAACCACAAAGTCACCTTTCATAAGAGACCTTATGCAGATTTCTCAGACTGTAGAATTAAATACATATTTTACAACCTATCCATTTTATGGTATTCAGTCATAGCAAGCTAACCAGACCAAGACATCAACGTTCATTAGGAGAAATCTTCAGAGGATCCAGTTGCTCAACAGCAAGATGAGGAAGGACAATAGGACACGGAGCAGGGAGGGCTGCAGTCACTTCTGATTCACAGATTTTGGCTTCAGTGTTGGAGGAAAGCAGTTCCATGCTACTCCAGGGAGAAACTGTGGAAGTTTCATCTGGGCTTACAGACTCGGGTATTTGGGGCATCGTTTGAAAACTGTGCATGGTCAGTGTAACGCAAGCAGAAGAGCTGTTCTGAATTTTAATGTACTAGCGTTTTGTGCTAGACACAGACACAGTCAGAGCCTACAATGTGACAGGTGTTTACTTAATATCCAACAATCCTTGCTTGATAACTAAGAAAAGCAGGAGACAGAAAAAGGTAAAACTTGGAAATATTTTTATTCATCAAAATCTAGATTCTGTAATTTAAAGAGCCCAAAGAACATAATAAAATCCCTGCCTCTGTGAGTAGGTGAACTAGGTTTTGTCCCTTCTACTTCTGTCTTATCTGTTCCCACACTATTCTAAGCCACTGTGCTTCATCCAGAGATAAATCACAGCTGCGACTTACTGAGATGACAGAATCTTCCATAGCGCCCTAGGTCGCATATGCAGGCACCATACACCCTGTGGCAATGGCCGTTGTTGGCACAGTGACATTTTCTTTTGCAGTTCTTCCCAAAGAACCCCTTTGGGCATCCTGCAAGTTATGGAAAAGGAGAAAATATTAGCTCACATTCCAAAATTTCTACAGCCTTTGTTTATAAAACACAAATCCTGAGTTTCCACCCCTATCTGAGGAGCTATAGACAGTTGATGAATTGAGGGAAAGACAGTCACTGTCCTCTGGGGAGCTGGCCAATGGCAAGTGTTCATGTCTCAGCAGATGACCACATGCACACACGGACAGCACTACATGTATCCTTAGTAAGACATAAACTTGGGAGGAGGAGAAGGTATGATGCTCTAGGGGGAGCTGGAGTGAGGTGGTGGTGGGCAGATGTGCTCAATATACGTTGTATAAATGTATGGAACTTTAAAAAGTAAATCTTTTAATAGTACCTGAGAATTTCTTACAATACATTTTAATCACATTCACACCATCTCTTGCTACTCTTCCAAAATTCATCCAACTTCCCTTCATAACCAACTTTGTATCATCTTCTTTTTCCCTTTCTTTTACACACAGCAAGTCTAATTTGTGATGCTCATGAATTCTTGGATTCATGGATTCAATCCAGTGGGGTTTTCCACTGAATTGTGGTAGATCTAGTAGGGGCCACACTCTTACAGAAAACTGACTCTCCCAGCAGTTATCAATTGCTAATGGCTCCTCAGCTAGGGGTGGGACTTTATGACCACTTCTTTTCATGCTGGGAGTATCTGAGGCTTGAGTTGACGAAGGTCTTGTTACACACTGTCTCAATGGCTATGAGTTCATATGTGCCACTGCCTTGTTGTGTCTGGAAGACATTTTCTTTGTAGTCATCCACTTCTCTGGCTTTTAATTATCTATATAAATACACACACACACACACACACACACACACACACACACACATATATATAGTATTATGTATTATAGTACATCTATTTAAGAAGTCATGGTGGAAGACAATAGCTCAACAAGCAAAGCGCTTTTGGTACTAATGTGAGGACCTGAGATCATTAACCAGAAGCAGATTCTTGTGTGTTTGAACCCAACCTGGTCTACATAATGAGTTCCATGTCAGTTAGGTCTACGTAGTGAGACCCTTTCTAAAAATCAGACCAAAACAAAAACCAAGACTTCATCTTAAAACCCAAGGTGCTCAGTATCCTAAAGAAGGACTCTGGACGTTAACTTCTGGTGTCCATACAGACCTGCACAATGTGTACCTGCAATACACGCAGGCCCAAAGATGTCACTCTGTTTACATGGAGACTAATGAGTGCCTTTTCTTTTTTCTTTTTTGCAGATGTGCATTCATGATCTTTCTTCCTCTGCTTGAAATCCTACTGCGACTTGTCAATGCTACAAGCTAAAAGCTCCACACTGAGTACCGGGGCCACGGCACTAGCAGAATTCCTGCTGCCCTGCCAGCTCCCTGCTCATCTTTGCTGCTGTGTCTGAGGCATGCCACACAGCTTCTCACCTTCTTCAGCAATATCCCTCACGCTGTCTGCCTTACTTCATCTCTCTCGATTTACCTTTCTATAAGTCTCTCATTATAATAACCTGAATTGTACTATGGTCTTACTTCTAACCATGCCTCAGCTGCAATACCTATTGACCTTTGTAATCTCTGTTTGTCAAACCAGCTCACAACTTCCACAGTGATCAGTTTGCTTTTCTGTAACAGAGTCATCATCGTTCCTGGCAGAGCTCATTGCAACCATTTAGTGTGTGTTTAAAAAAAAAAACCAGCTGAATATTTCTCACAGGGAAGAAGTTGGACAGCCATTAGGAGCCTTCCCACACTCCAGAAAAGAAAGGAAATTTGATTTTCATGATCCCATCAACTGTGGGAACCTAACAAACTTCCCAGTGAATTCTAGCAGACTCTTAGGTAATACCATGTTAATTACCTTCTGCCTTCAGCAACTGAGCTCTGCAGCACCAGTGGAGGAATTATGGCCTTTGAATTGGTTTCCATAAAGAATCTGTGCACGGTTGTCACTGGCATTTGTGAACTCTCCACCCTGAATTTCTCTTCCCCCATTCTCTCTTCCCTTCTCTTGCTCTCTGATCTCAATTCTCTCCTACTTTTGCCACGTGGGTCTTACTCTTCTCTTTTTGTTCTGCAGGAAACATGAGCTCTCCCCAGGTCCTCCTTCTGGAGCCATATCCACAAACCCAACTTTTTCTTGAGAAGGAAAGAAAACTCTTATCTTGAATCAGGATTCATCCTGCTTGCATCACAGCCAGCCAAGTGTCTCAGCTACTGTTCTAGTACTGTGAAGAGACACCATGACCAAAGTAACTTCTAAAAAAGACATTTGGCTGGGGGCTTGCTTGTGTTTTCAGAGATTAAGTTCATGACCATCATGGCGGGGAGCACAAGAGTAGGTCGGCAGACAAGGTACTGTAGCAACTGTACCTTGAAAAGGTACAGTTTAACCTTTTCTGAAAGTTTACATCTTATCCTCAAGACAAAGGGTGACACTGGACCTGGTATGGCCTTTGAAATCTCAAAGCCCACCCCCAGTGTCATACCTCCTTCAACGAAGCCACACCTCCTCGTCCTTCCTAAATAGTCCACTGTACCGTCTGTACTACTACATGTACTATGGTACTATGCCTGTAGTGAGGCGCCTGCACTACAGGGCCATTCATGAGCTGGGCAAGGGCCTGGAGATTTAAACACACAAATACACACAGAGACACGGGTCATCCTTGAAACAGGAATGCCCCCTTTATTGTGTACCAGAGTAGCTTATATATGGATCCTTAACTGATAGTCACTCCCCAACCAAACCCACCAGAAATCTCTCCCCTGCCATCAGGAATTCCTGAGTGTCTCATGCTCAGAGTAAAAACAAGTTGTTGTGCTAAGAGCAGCTGCAAGCATAACAGGTTGTTTGCAGGAAATTCAAGGTCTGGGTACACAGCCCCCAACAGTCCATCAGCAATGGAGCAAGCATTCAAATATATGAGCATTTGAGGTTTATTTTCTTTCAAACCACCACATCAACTGTCTCTTATTTTGTTGGATTATGCTCGCCATGACCAAAGCAACAATATTCTTGCTCACATAGACACAGCCTTTGATTTCTGTTCATTTTGTTGGAATCCCTATCCTCTCCCCCGCTAAAAAAAAGGGCACCATCTAGTCTGGGGATCACTGGTGCCTCCGTTCTGACAAGTGCAGATGCCCCTGCCCTCTCTTCTTCTGGCCTCTGTAGAACAATCTGTGAGTCAGTTAGGAAAGCTGAGTGTGCAATACTGTGTCCATCACAGCTGGTGCTGAAAGAGGAGATAAGAAAGAGAGGTGCTCATTCTTTGAGGATGGCTACCAAGCAATTAAACTCTTAGTACCTTGTCCACCCATTGTAAAACTCTGACCTAGTCCCAGTTCTTATGATTCAGGGGAGTTCTGCCTTCAGCAGGGGGATTCCAGATGATACAGCTGGTTAAAATAATGATGAAACAATGATGTAAGAAAATGCTAACAAGGTTCAAATAAAACCACCCTTACTTCTTAAACTTCTCATGGTTTCAACACTACCCAGACACCTTTGCCGAATAAATTTAACCAACATCAATGAGAAACAAACTGTACCTTTTATTCAGAGAAAAAATATCTTATTTTAAAATCAGCAGCTAGAGTCCTCTTGGGGGCACCCAAGGTATTTTACCTTCACAGAATTTGATGAAGTTAAGCAAATGGCAATATTCTCTGGTTTGTTGATTCTTTTGAAGTACCAGGTATTCAAAAATGCACACCGAAGAATTTGTGACTTTATTTAATATGAGTACATTTAACTCTTGAGATAATTTTATTAGCTATTTTAGTTGATGTTTTCTCATAAGTTTTATTCTAAAACCATATTTATGATGTCTCCTACAGTAACCTCCTTCCATTATATGAAACAGTTCATATTCATCTATTTTTTTCAATGTGTTTATTAATCTTTTTTCATCCCCTTCTCTTCCTTTCTTCCCTTTTTAATTGAGACAAGGTCTCCTCAAGATTGACCTTGAAATCAGAATAACTTTAAACCTCTAATCCTCCTTCTTCTACCTCTTAGGTGCTAGATTATAGGCATGCTCCAAGATTTTTGTTTTATGCAATGTTAGTATTTGAACTCAAAGTCTTGTGAATGCTAGGTAAGTACACTACAACTGGGCTACCCATTCTTTTTTTTTTAATTTCAAGCTATAAAAGGGTAAATAGAAAGGAAAAAGGGGGAAGCAAACGCAAAAAAGAGAAAGAGATTGGGAATAAATAATTGTCAAGTCCTATATTGTTAATTTTGAGTAATTGCTGTGGGACAATGGTTTGTAACCTATCATTTGTATTTTAATAAAATACTGATTGGCCAGTAGCCAGGCAGGAAGTAGAGGTGGGTAACAAGAACTGAAGGATTCTGGAAAGAAGAAAACCCAGTCTGCAGTTGTGACCCAATCACAGAAGAAGTAAGATGTGACTGCCTTGCTGAATAAGGTGCTGAGTCACATGGCTAGCATAGACAAGAATAATGGGCTAATATAAGTTATAAGAATTAATAAGAATTCTGAGCTAATGGGCCAATCAGTTTTTAAGTAATGTAGACCTCTATGTGATTTCTTTGGGACTTAACAATTGTGGCAACTGGGCAGGGTAGAAACCCCGATGACAAATGGTACCCACGTGGACAACTGCATCCACATAAAATCTGAGAGAACTTGGGAAGTAATTATAGACAAGAAAAAAAGAATACAGTTAAGTACAGCTTATTATAGCACCATTTTCTCCAGTGGGCTCAGTGTGCTAGAGGCAAAAGCTTCTCATTTAAGAGAGGCTTCCTGACTCAGCTTTAGATGTAAAACCTTGCAGCTCTTTTAAGAGGCCCTGCCATGAAACACTTAAATGGTGTTGATGAAAAGCTGACCACATGATTTTTGGTTTTCAGCCATAGCAGGAAAAAAGGTGTGCCATTTTAAAATGACTGACTCTTTCAGGCAGTAGGTCTGGATACAGAGCATTTGAGTGTGGTTTGTGAGCAGACTGCTGCAGCTTACTTGCTGGCAGGGACTTTGAAATGTTATAGAGTTGTGGCAATAAACATGGCTACAAACAATACCTCTGCCGTGAGGCTTAAATATCAGAAAGCTAAGAAATGGGCTAGATCCAGCTGCTATTAAAATTAAATAGTACACAGTGATATTTAAATAATTTCCTTATAATTTACTGAACAAATTCCTGAGAAGTTTCAGTAGACACTGTCATAGAAGACCAAAAAAGATACTGGGGTAGTCATCTACTCAGAAGCAAGGGTTAGGGTTAGGGTTGGGAGCCCCACTTTCCTGATTCCTACTAATTTTATTTTTAATTTCCTGGGTTGCATTTTAAAATGTCTATCATCTTTTAAATATGTAATTTATATGGATTTTAAAGATTATCAACACTCCCTTTTGATTGAAGAATTTAGTCAAAACTCTGAGTTTGTTGTTTTTTGGGGGGGAGGAGTTGTTCTGTCTTTATTCTCAGACTGTGTTTTCTGAAACAGACTCTCCCAGAAAGGCACTGGTGAACACTCAGACATCTGCAAGGTTTTCCAGGAATGATGATGTGGACATCTTGACCTTTTATCACCTGGCTCCCTTTGATCTCTCAGTGTGAGATTTGTTTCAGTGATATTTTCCTCTGATGCTTCAGAAGAAGATTGTCCAGTTTTGTTTTTCATGCTACCACGTCAAGGACCATGTGTTCAAGCCACACATGTATATCAATGGACTGCATGCTAAACAAATATTTATATTGTAATAATAATATGATGACATTATATACACTTTATACTATGGAATATGTGATCCTATGGCTTAATATAATTTAGGGTCCCTACCAAGATTTGCTGTCTGTGCTGATGTGGTTGCCATTTCAATGTAGAGTAACCTACAATAAATAAGAATGAGTTGTACCTGACCAAGGAGAACACTCTTCGAGAAAGATCAGTACAGTAAGAGAGAGTGCTTGACATCCACTAGAAAGACTAAAGCTTGCAGAGGACACCATGTGAAGCTTTACAAGACAGATAGAAATGGATCTTCAGAGATCCTGGTGGAGCAACAGCCACAGAACTAAAACATGCAGAATATTAAGTAACCAGTGGTTTATCTTCCTAGAAATAGTCAGCTTGGCAAAGAACTATGATAAAGATTTAAAAAATAAGGGGTGTTTATGACAATCTAATTCTAAAAGGTTCCAAGTGACTAAGTATACATACATACATACATACATAAAACATACATACATATATAAACTACATAAAGACAGTGAGTTCCTTAAAAGATTAAGAGCAGCAGAGAACATGATCACAGGAATTCTTGGGGAACAGCCTGAATGCCTGAATAAGTGATGCTGGCCAAAAGATGTCACTGTGTCAGGACTTGGGTCCTGTGCCTGTGACATGCAGTAGAACATATCTTTGCTCTTTTTTCTTGCATGCAGTGAGCTAAAAGAAAAACTCTGCTCATACCATCTTCCAGATAATCATGAAGACACATATTTTTAAGTATATGAGCAAGTTAAAAAGAGAAAACACTCAATGTATTTTACTTTATCCGTGGAAGTTTCAACTTCCAAAAGCTGTCTTCATTTAAAACACAAATGAAATGATATTTGGATAGCATCATATTTAAATTTTTGATAGTTTCTCCTGAGAGATTTATATAAAAAGATGAAACTATCACCATTGGTTATGTTAATGTGATTTTTAAATGGGGGAAGAGAGGTAAAAGAACAGAAGCAAGCCTAGTTAAACAAATTCATTTTTGAAAATTTTAAGCAAACTCACTGTACTTTGTAATACAAACCATCCTGTTTTTTTTCCATTTGGAAAAACTGGCCAGGTCTTGTGATTTATTAGAGTCCAGGGTTTTTTATAAGACCAAACTTATTAGGAACCTTTATTAATTTCTGGTTTGTGGGTTAGCAGAAATCAGAACATTATATTCCACTGAGAATACGCAATATTTCCTTTCTGTCATATATTTAGTTTACAAATGCCACTATTCCCCATCATTCTTTAAGGCAAATATATTGATAGTCAATCAGTATATTTTAGGCTGCTTCTTTGAGAAGAACTCACCCAAAGGAGCTGACTGGTCCTCACCAGTTGTTAGGGTGTTGCTTTCATTGCAAAGAATGCCAGTCCAGCCTTCAGGACAGAAGCACCCACTCTCTCCTTGTTGGCATCTACCTCCATTCATGCAGTCGCCACAGCTCAGGCTGCAGTCCAGGCCAAAGGTGCCATCTGAACAAACTGCCATGGGAAACCAGCTTAGTTGACTCCTAGCTCTACGTGTAACCAAAATACTTAAATCCTCAAAGATAGTCACATCAGATATCTTCCCCCCAAAAGTCCAGAAAAGGACCTTTGCAAAGAGATAGCTCATAACACAGAACAGATTTTTATTTTGGTAAATTATAATATTAGATTATTGTTCCTTCCTTAAGGACTATAGGGAAGAAACAAACCAGGCCTAGGACTAATTCTAGAGCACAGAGGGACAGAGAGTCCAGGCTTGTTATGCGTCCCTTTTTAGACTTTTCCTATGCAAATGTTATTGAGACTTACTACCATGTGTAACGATGCACACATCTCAAATATACCCACCAGCAGCCCACAAACTCAGATCAGGGTACAACATATTTACCTCTTACCTAAAATGTCAATGCTATTGGGCTCATAAATAAAACACTACCATAATCTCTCACACCACACACTTTTTTTTTCTGAACTTTTTATAAATAGAATTTTATAGTAAGTGCGTTTGCAGTCAGGTTTCTTCTGTCAGTACAACGGCTGTAACATTTCTCCCTGCTCTGTGTGCACACATTTCTTTGATGTGTGTATAATATTGTATTTCTTACTGAGATGCAATCTATTCACATCTTCCTTCTCTTCTTGATGGAGATTGTCCTAATACAAGTACGTTCAGAGGTATTCTTTTATGCAGTTGTTTAGGCATGGGCTCATGTTTCATCCTGATCTTGGTTGGGGGGGATGGGTGGATGTGGGGCCTTGCTACTCTGTGCAGCGCTGGCTTCCTCTTTGTGCATTCTCATCGCAACTGTGCTACTAAGCACTGCACCTGCCTCGCTTACTTGACAGCTGTCTGTAGGACTGCATGGCCCATCTCATGACTGGCCAATGATTGAAGGAAAGACAGAAGAGGTGTAACTGGATCTCTCTCTTTCCAAACCTTGGTCAAATGATTTCATTTTGCCTATGTGTGTTGCTAGCAACTACATTTCTTCTGATTTTGAGTAGCTAAAGCAGCAGAAATTTAATAAAGAAATGTTTAGATAGTCCATCTTTATGCAGACGCATTGATAGTCTTATAAATTAACTATAATACAAATGTTTTAATGCCAGTTTCTATTTTATATTTATTTCTTTGTTTTTTATTTGGTGCGTGTATGTGTATCCATAGCACTGCACATGTGGTGAGGTCAGGGGGCAGCTGTTGGCAGTGGGTCACCTTTCTGCTATGTGAGTTCCAGATGTTGAACTCAGAAGGTTATTCATGGTAGCAAGCATTTACTCACTGAGCCAACAACATGCTCCTTTGCTTCATACTCCATCTCCAAAAGTACTTTCATATTTTTTCTTTATTGCATAAAAATGGAAATCAAGAGATGATAAATTTGTAGGAAGCACTACAGAAGTAAAGGTTTTGGACCCATTTTTCTAGTCACTCTCCCATCCCAACTGATGACCTTAACTATTGATAATGAAATTTCTTGGGTACCATGTCCAAGTTATCTAATGATGAGGAGCCATGAACAATGAAACCCATCCTTTACTCACCCTCTCTGTGCAAGGCTGTCAGACCCTGGAACTCTTCTGCTTCCTGGTCTTCTTCATCATCTTCATCTTCATAGGAAGCAGTCAGAGAATGGGCGAGGTAAGGGAATGGCCTAGGCGAGTTTTCAACCAGAAGTCCTGGAAACCTCAGGATGTCTAGTACCTCTTCTTCCTCTTCTAACTGATCATCATCTAGAGCTCAGACCAGAGAAGAAGAGACTGGTTTTCAATACTGAGGCTAGAAGGAGGAAAAAGCGACCAAGCATTAACAAATAGCGAGACAGGCACACAGGGATGACTGATGGGCAAAGAGCTCTGAGGAGGCTCTTTAAAGACACATTGTATCAGCAGCCAGATGCTGCTGGCATGAGGTTGAATTACAGTAGACAGAGTGCAAGGGAAATAAAATAAGGCTAGAAAGAAAGAAGAGTGGGAGGAAAAGAAAAAGAATGGAGTCAGGAAGAAGGGAAGGAATGAAACGGAAAGAGAAGGAAAGAAAGAATGAAGGAGGGAAAGAGACGAAGAGAAGGGTAGAACATAGAGAGAGAGACAGAAACCTGAAGGAGGGAGACAGGGTTCTGAAGTTTTCTTCTCCAGCACTCTGAAGAGCAGGAAGTGGAAGGAATTTGTGAAAGACTCAGAAAATCCCTTGACTACTGACAGAGACAGGTTCTTCCATCACTGCCGATTCTGTATCCTTCTTCACAGGCACAGACATATGTCCCCACGGAGTTGATGCACAGCTGGTCACAGTCCACACTGACATCCAGGCACTCGTCCACATCTAGGGAGAGCACAGTTAACCAGCACCTGCCCTTGTGGTATTTTGTGCCCTTCACTAACTAGCAGTAGCATCCTGGCACACAGAAAGCAAGTACATCCCCTCAGTATCACGCATACCTACCTAGTGACTTGCTTTCATTCATTTGCAAGTTTACATTTACAGAACAAGTGTTTTCTGAGCTTTCTTTGTGTAGCTTGGATGAAGAACATAAAACTTAAACTCAGTGGTTCCAAGCTGTGCCTTATTCTGCAGAAATGTACTAATTTCTCAGCTCAAGTATGTGCGTGAACTGTATTTGCATAATTCCACACAGGGTGTACGTAGAACTTTTGACACAGAAGAATACTAACTAGTGTGTCCTCATGTAATGATCAGATTTATGACTGAATCTGAGTTCATAGCCAATCAGTGTGTTAGATCCACGGAAAGTCCCAGAGTGAAGCCACACTTCAACTACACCTCAGATGGTACACACCTTACCCCTATGGGTATGTGCAAGTGTGCGCTTTCATGTCATACAATCATATCTTGGCTCACTCTTCATAGGAGCAGATGGTGCATAAAACGCAGCTTTTGTTGGTTCTGTTAATTGGATGGAAATGATGAATCTGCTCCACTGTGTTTAGATATATAGATAGCACAGTATGTTTTTCTCTGATCTACACTGAAGGGCTGGCTTATAGTGGTTTAAAGCCTGGATACCATCAGAATTCAGGATTTGTCTCTTTAAGCAATGAAACTCCATGTTCTTTGTGACATTAATGTTATATTTGACCTGATGCTGGAATAGATAGTAATGTTATGAACTGTAGATAGATTTAATGAAAATATTTTTTTAATAATAATAATTGAAAAATTAAAAATCAATAATGTATTTAAGGTAATTTTTGTTTTTAATTAATTTTAAGTAAAGATACAGAGCAATTGATTATACTATGGCATGCTTATACACACATAACATTCAGTTTCAATTTTGTTCCTCCCCACCCCCATTGCCCTACCCTACTCTCTTTGTCCTTACTTTCAACCACTTCCTCCCCTATAGCTGCCCTTTGACTTTAATATCACCTGGATCCTATCACACTCTCTAGCCCCTTCCACCTACCATTTCCCCCTTTTTCTCCTAAAGCTGCCCTTCTGCCTTTATGTCACTGGAATTCCATTATGTCCTCTAATGCCTCCCACCTGTCTTCTCTCTCCTCCCACTTTCTCTCTCCTTTCTACTTTCAAGGCACAAACCGGTTTAAGTTTAGATTATGCATATGAAAAAAACCTGGTAATTGTCTTTTTGGATCTGGTTTATTTCACTTAATATAAATGACCCGTAGTTGTATACATATTTTTTTAAAAAATGATCTCATTTCATCTTTCTGGGTATGGATAAAATTCTGTTCGATATATGTTCCACATTTTCTGCATTTATTCTTCTGCTGATTGCCATGTAGGCTGGTTCTGTGTCTTGGATATCATGAGTAGGGAAACTGTAATTGTTATGGATGTGAAGCATCATGTGGAATGGTGACCTCACCCTTCCATTTTATACAGAGTGGTGAAGCACTGTTATATGGTAGTTCTATCTAATTCCTGAGTTTTGAGAGTCTTCCTCTATGACTCCTAAGAGTGTAACATGAAGTAGCCTGAAATACTACACCCACATTCCCAGCAAATGAACTTTTTGTTTAAAAAGAAAAAAGAGGGAAATGATGTGGGAGAATTGTCTGTAATCTGTCAATCATATTTTAAAAAAATGCTGATTGGCCAGTCAGGAAATATAGACAGGAAAACCAGACAGGAAGTAGAGTTGATGCAATGAGAACAGGAGAATTCTGGGAAGCAGGAAGCTCCCTCCACCATTCCTGCCCAGATCACCAAAAAAGCAACATGTGAGCTGACAGCTGAAAAAGGTACTAAGCCATATGGTACATATGATCATAAATCATATAGATCAGAATAATGGGTTAATATAAACTACAAGAGTTAACAAGAAGCCTGAGGTAATGGGCCAATCAGTTTTATAATATTATGGAGTCCTATGTGTGATTTTCTTTGGGGCTTGCCGGCTTTGGGGTACTGGGCAGGACAGATACCACAACAAACAGGCCCCTCATGTTACATAAGAGGGCCATGCAAGTTTGCTTTCTTACCAACAGTGCATGAGATTTCCCCTTTCCCATGTCCTCTCTGCTGTTTTTAATAACAGCCACATGACTTAGATGAGATGGAAGCGAAAAGTCGTTTCAATGTGCATTTCCTTGGCAGCTAAGCATGTTGAATATTTTTTTCAAATATTTATGCCATTTTTATTTTTTATTTTGAGAACTAATAAAATATTATATTCATTGATATATTTATCAATGGATATATTAGGGGCTTTTTAGTTTTTAAATTTTGCAGCTCTTTCTATGCTGTAGCTATTAATCCACTCTGTAATGTTGGATGACAAAAATAGTTTTCTGCTCTTTACATTGTCTCTTCATTCTGGTGATTGTTTCCTTTGCTGTGTGGAAGCATTTTTAGGTTCTTGAAATCTAACTTATAAATTATTGGGATTTTTCTCTTGGTACTGGAATCCCCTGAAGAAAGTTCTTCCTTTTGCCTCTATCTCAAAGTGTTTTTTCCATAGATTTTTTTCTAGTAGATCAAAGATTCATGTGTCTCATTAAGATCTCTGGTTCATTGTAGTGATTTTTGTAAAGGGAAAGAGATACAGATTAACTTTCTTTGTCCTACAGGTGGATATCCAATTTTCACTGCATTTGTTGAAGAACCCCTTTCCCAACTCCTGTAACCTCAGCGTTGGTTGGTACAGATGGCTGTATCGTGGGAGCTCACTTGCCAATCTGTCTAGCAGACATGGTGAGTTCCAGGTCCAGCAAGAGACCCTGTCTCAAAAATAGGTTAGGGAAGCACTTGAGAAAGGCACCAACCTCAATCTCTAGTCTCCACATGAGTGGCTGCATCCACAAACTTACACACACACACACACACACACACACACACACACACACACACACACATACGAGACACACACACACACACACACACACACACACAGAGAGAGAGAGAGAGAGAGAGGATGCAATGCTCACTCTCCAGACTCCAGATCTTTACATGGTTTCTGAAGGAAGACATTATTAATTAGGAAAGCAAAAGAATGAATAAATTTCCTACAATGAAGAGATAACTAGAAGATAGCTAGGAAGGAATCTCTCATATCCAGTACTAACCAGGAAACCTCTAATGGTAGTAGAGAAGGGAAAAAAGCAATAAACAGTCATCCAGCTAACAACAATGACAAAAGAGTAAGTGGTAGCATCTCTAACAATAAACAGAAGTTCAAATGGCTTCAACTGAAAAGGAAAGAAAGGCAGAACAATTGACTGTATTCAGTTCAAACTATCTGTTTTTCACAAGAAATATCCCGGCTGTACAAGTGTTTCCTCCAAGATTGAAACATTCCATCCTGCAGGGAAGCTTCTTAAGGAGGAAGGCAAACAACTCAAAAGAGATTAAGGAAATCCCTGAAACTGACCAGATTCACAGGGCTCCTTCCTGCCAGAGTAAGCAATAAAAACCAAGAGTCCCTCACAGAGGAGTGAAGCTGAGCTATGAAGAAGGTTCTGCCCAGAAGAAGCTCCCTAAAAGAGGTGTAGAACACAGTCACCTGGAAAGGACACTCTCCAACCTGGTGAACTGTCAAAAGCTGTGCTGTGTCCCCTAGGTCTCTTAGTTTTTATGAGCTGTCACCATGCTGGGGTGGAACTTGGTGATGCAACTGTCTTTGAGTCCTTCCTGTTCCTGTAAGTAGCCCCTCACCCATATCTCTGTCTGTAACCCCAATGAAACTCGTGGTTCGCAACATTTGACTTTGGTGGTATCTGTAGTTTGGTCTGGTATGGTGAGTAGACGTGTGTAGTGCCTCCTCAGGAAAAGTTTTGTCACCCAAGACTACCTCATTCACATAGGCGCTCACAGGCTGGAGTCTAAGGATAGAATTCAATTTATGAAGCTGATGAAAGCCAGAAACAAGTTAGCACAGCTGCTTTGAGATCTGAAAACCTAGACTTCAAACCAACATTATTCAAAAGAGATAAAGGAGGTCCTTACATAATAATAAAGAGAATAATTAGCCAAGAAAATATAACAAGTATAAATATATGTGCACCAAGCATCGCAGCTTACAATGCCATAAAACAAACACTAATAGGAACTTTAAAATTACCTAAGTCCTGATATAGTGACACTAGGTAACTTTAGTTTTCTGATCATACCTTTAGAAAGATTATTCAAACTAAGAATGGACAGAAAAACTTCAGCGTTAAACTATAACATGCATCAAATGGACTTAGGCGTTATCTACAGAATATTCCGTACATCAGATATAGAATAAACATCCTGAAATAGCCCATAGAACTCCTCCAAAACAGGCTACATTCTATATGCCATGAAATAATTCTTAGCAAATACAAAATAACTGAAATAGTTTATCATCCCCTATTGTATCACAGCTGAATAAAACTAGAGACCTACAGCAAATAGAAAGCACACAAATACTTGAGAGACTGAATGGTACATTGGGACTTTGTGAAGGAAACCACAAGATGATGTAAGGACACACAGGAACTCTGCTCTCTCTCTCTCTCTCTCTCTCTCTCTCTCTCTCTCTCTCTCTCTCTCTCTCTCTCTCT